GGAGGCGTCGGCGATATACTTCATATGAACCGAAACTCAGCGTATAAGATAGCCTACTTGCCTCACAGACATGTCTACTTTTAAACAGAACAATTCAAAACGAAATAAAACAGACCAGAGACTGCTCTCTGCTTATGTAATCCGTATGAAATGTGCATTTCTCTCTGGCGCGTTCACTACTGAAGATCGCGTGCATCCTGCGGAAGACGGAAGAGTTGCAGATGGTTCAGGATCGATATCGAAAAATCTATATTTTTGACAACACTAGATTGTAGGCTACTTAGTTTATTATTTCAGATGCCTTTATTATGCATTTAGTATTTTATTATTATTTATTATACTGTATTATGCTTATTTATTTAGCAATAAATGGATAAATGGAGATATGCATCGCGCTGATGAATCACTCAAAATTACCTCAATCATGGAAATTCCTTCACCATGACAGTCCTACTGTTTCTTATTGGCTATTGTGACAGTACTGACGTAATCACAATCTTGCTCATCCCGATAAATATCAAACATGTTTGATATGATCGGGGCGAGCCCGATTTGTGTAAGAGCAGATCGGGAGGTGCAAGATTCGATCTGTGAATGCCTCACATTACCAGGTAATCTGTGCCGAACATCCGAACCGATCGAGGTCCTCGACAAGATTTTTTCTCCGATTCTCGGGAGGGGAAAATCGGGCATAAATCGGCCTAAAACTCCTGTAGTGTGAGCCAGGCTTTAGAGGTAGTTTGGTGGCGATAAGGGCCGAAACGTGAGCACACGGAAAACTTCCCAGTTCCCACAGTCAAGGACGTTCTCCAAACAGTTAGATTGTATGTGCTTTTGTTTGTGCACATCTCTTTATCGAAAAAACACAATGCATAAACTGCTAATATTAACTAGGTCATATATTGTTTGTTAGACTTTTTGAACTTTGATAAAACCAGTGAATGTTGATTGAGAACAGGTTTTTCTCCCCTTCATGTTGAATGATTGATAGTGGATGACTTTGTCTTTGGTTTTTGGTAAGGTGGCATTCTTTCAGATGTCTTGTTTTCCCTCATACCTGATACATTTGTTCTCTGTTTTGTGTTTCGATGACGTTTACTTGCACACATCGAGACCAAATGCAAAGCAGACACGTTCATTGCACTATCACTTTGAGGTAGAAACATCAGGACTGTTTAGGAGCCACTACACTGGCTGTTTAATCAATTAAATTGATCATTGTTTAGCATTTACTCAGCCTTATGTTGTTCTGTATGATTGACTTTATTCCACAGAGCACAGGAGAAAGCTTGAATAAGTTATGACTGTAACTTTCATGCTTCATAATGAGCACAAAAGCACCTTTAAAATCAGATGTATGACTTTTTGCCATCTTTAATTTCAACTGATCACAATTTAAGTCATTGTTCACTGATAATCTTCCCTTCAAATTAACAGTGAACTGGTGCAAAAATTATCGGTAATGACTTAAATATCAGCAAAGAAGTTGTGTTGACAAGTTGTTTTGTCATTTTAGGCAAGAATATTCTACAGAAATTCATTTGTGTTCAATGGAGGAAATAATCTATTTTGGAATTACATGATGAGAGTGAATAAATTATGACAGATGAAGTTTCATTTGTGGGTGAATTATTCCTTTAATTGAAACAAACAGACATTATTGATTTCTCAAATCATGAGTCTGTTGAGGAGAGAGATGGGCTGTTACTTTACTAAGTAATCAGATGCATGCTTTTACATACTGGACAATAAAACAACAATAAAACCGGTGATAAAATTCCACAGACACACATTAAAGGATGGACCCACCCAAGCCTAGCCTGATTACGTCAGGCTTCGTACTTCCGCTCAATTTCATTTCGCTTCGGTACTTAGTCTGAGACATCGACATGTCTCTCAGTTTTCCTCCGGCCTGAAAACAGACGGCCAATCAACGAACAGAGGGCGGGCTGAGAGCCGTGACGTAGACGCTAAGCGCCGAGTTTAAGATTGGGGAAAACGACCGCTGATATGGAGACACGGGATGCAATTCGCTCTGTTGTGGAGAATATTCCCGGCATTTCCAAACTGAAGCCCGAACAAGAAGAGTGTTTGTTAAACATTTTGAATGGAGGTGATGTCGTGGCTCTACTCCCGACAGGTTTTGGTAAAAGTTTAATTTATCAACTATTACCGATCGTCAGCGAGAAACTGGGCAGGCCAAAGGCCTGGCAAGGCGATAGTTGTGATTGTGTCCCCCTTGGTTGCACTCATGGAGGATCAGGTTAAGGAGGCAGCAAAACTCGGTCAGACATGTTCACTTCGGTATTTCGCTCGATGGTTTTGTTTTCGCATCATACATGTGTTTACAGTGGAAGTTCGATGCGGCTGAGCTGGCGAATAACACACGTCATAACCAGACGTTGTGTGATTGGCTTACGGGCAACCAATGATTTTATACTGCAGACAACCCCCCCCCCCCCCCCCCCTCAACCCCCCGCGATAAAGAAAACACTTTTCAATGATGCCATGCCAGACTCTGTCTATGAAGCAAAGCGAAGTAGCAGAGTTTGGTATTACCAGGCTAACCCAAGCCATGTCTAGAGGCAAAAGATCCAGAGACTTGAGGGTGCAATACTCTTATATACCGTATGTTGAGTCTTAAGCAATCATCATCATCAAAAAAATGTTGTGTTGTGTGTAAGCTGGTGTTTTAGCTGGAATAGTTTGCAGTCCTGCTGTGACACACCACACATGTGAAAGCCTGTTTGTTTGTCCCTTTAATAACACATAGGTGCATTGTGTTTGTTGGCATAGGATGATCTGGAAGCTACAGCAGCATCCAGAGGGGTTTGTTATTGTTATGCTTTTTGCCTGAATCCACATGATGTCAGCACAAGTCATGAATGATCTGGAGGGATTCACAGGTTACAGGTCAGGTTTGTGGTCTTGGAATGAATCAGAGTTAAATCAGTGCTTTTACGTGGTCTAATGGTCTTGTGTAGCCAGACTGTTGACATTACAACTTGTTCTGGACAAAAACGCACACTTTGACAGGAAAAGACCATTTGATTGACTTTCTTCTTTTATGTGATGACTCTTTTGCAGTCTTTCTTTTCTTTCCTTGGCCATTTCTTTTTCTGCACCCTCTTTGCACTTTTATTTTCTCATTTTCTTTTTGCTCTCATTATTTTCTTCATTATGAACATTTCCGGGGTTCTCAGAAGCACAAGTTGTCGCAGTTTGGAACGGAAACTACAACAAATATCATTTTTGCATGATCATTTCCTCAATTGCAAAAGAAAAAATCCATGACAAGAGTTTCTATGACTTTCCTAAAAAAAAAATACAAAAAACCCAGAGAGATTAATTTACGTTAATCAGTTGTATTGGAAACACTCACTCAGCAAGAACAAATTTTCTTGTTAATTTAATGCCAGGGTAATATAACAAACTATATAAATAGATACATAAAAAAAACTGTTTTTTTTTTTATTCAAACTTTTCTACTTGTCTTAAAAAAAAAAAAGGTTACAAAAAATGTCAATAATTATCGATACCAAACGATATTGAACATTATATCGTGATCATTTTTTAAAACATATATTGCACAGCCCTAGTTGCTAGATTTACCTTTTTAAAGTTACCAAGAAATCAAAATAACAATTGTTGTTTTTTAAGGAATATTGCAGTATTTAATATAAATCACTCACATGAGATCCACCAATAGCAAACCACAACCAATCAATTCCCCATGGAAAACAAATCAAGCCCCGCCCTACATTTATTCTTGTTCCAGAAGCTGTTTCGCTCGGATATACGTCGCAATAGGGAAATGAAGACTATCACAACTTCTGTTTCATGTCGACTTTAATAACTGTGGAAATGCGTCATCGCAGTCTGTGAAAAGGGTCCGTGAACATTTGATCATATTTTTGGGTGATGCTTATTTAACACGTCAGCAGGACATACTCCAGGTCTGACCCTTCAGATCTGAGGCACACAGAGGTGTGTGTGTGTGTGTGTGTGTGTGTGTGTGTGTGTGTGAGTGATTGTCTCAGGAGAAGGAAGAGAAAGGGCAGAGATTGGGTCACTGAGTTTCCTGTCCTGGAAAAAACAGGAAACCTGGACACATTCTCTGTCACACTCAATTCATCGGTCTCATCTCTCGTATAGTCTTTTAAAAACCTTTACCCGTCTGCTGAAAGCTCAAGCAGCGATTTCAACTCTTCTGGGTCTTTGTTATGATGATGATCAGGAGCAAAATGCAACTTTTTTTTGCATTTTGGCGTGTTGTTCTGTAAGTTTGCCACTTTAATTGCAATGCAAGAATGATAATCTGACCGCTGCTGGTTTTATCTGGCAAGACGAGTGAGTCACATCAGAGAATATGGATGTTAAAGAAAAGCTCAGGCATGTTCACATTTGTAGCAGTTTTTTTTCCTACACATTAATGTAAATGCAAACAAAATCACAACGAGTCTTGGTGTTTTTGTGACAGGTGCTCGCAGCAAAACAATACATTTGTCCAATACATTTGTCCTGCGTTTAAAATCTGATCATTTCGACGGAGGTGAATCAATCAAAATTAACTTTAGCTGGAAATAACATTATTCAAGAACCGCTATAAAACCAAAACAATCTGTTACCTTAAATTATATGTTTATCTCTGTAAAGCTGCTTTGAAACAATCCATAGTTAAAAGCGCTATATAAATGAAGATGACTTGACTTGACTAGAGATAAAACATTAATTTAATGAAATAGTGCAAAATACAATTTCATGTCCGTGAAATTTCCTCAATTCACCTGCTTTTGGAAAAACATTTTAGACCCTGATGATGATTTATGTTCAATTTTAGTTGTTCAGTAGCTGCAGTCACGTCTTCTCTTCTGTATTTTTCAAATACAGGGCCTACTTTATTCATGGTGCTTTCATTCTGATCAATTAACGTCCTTCAAAATGAGCACTCACAGTGAGCCAAAGATAAGAAATAATGTTGTTAACCGTGTGTGTTTCAGGCCAGTCTGTCCATCTGGGGATGGGGGGGTCTGGGAGTCGTCCTCTTCCTCATCTCATTTGGACCCTTTGCCATCTTTTATCTGGCCTTCTACATCCTCTGTTTCATTGGCGGGTAAGTGGATCCCAGATTAGACCATCTGTAACACCTGTTGATGCTCTAACATGATGCTGCAATCTCTCTCTCTCTCTCTCTCTCTCTCTCTCTCTCTCTCTCTCTCTCTCTCTCTCTCTCCAGGGGTTTTGTAGTGCTGCTTTTATTTGGAAAGACAAACTCAGAGAAACACCTGGAAAGGTGCGAGCACTCCTACCTGCCATCTACACAGACGGCCATACTGAAGGTGTGCAAACACTTGCATCTGTCTTCCTTCTGTGATTGCATTTTAATTTATTATGTTTGCCACAACACAAAAAACACATTTGTATTGCATTTAAGGAATAAAGCATGTCATGTGGCTTTTTTCATAAAACCTTAACAATTTAATAATTTCATAGGCCCTATGAAATGTTTAATTTTCTCAGTAGTTTTCTTCTTTTTTTTTTTTTTTTATTGGGGAGGTGGATTTATAATTGAATACAAATGTATTAATCAAAAACATTGGTAATCAAATGAAGGCATAAAACCCTAACAATGTAATTAATATTTTTAAAATGTAATCAAATGGAAATTCAACAATTAATTTTAAAGGAGTAGTTCACTTTTAAAAAAAACTTTTGTTGATAATTTACTCACCCCCGTGTCATCCAAGATGTCCATGTCTTTCTTTCTTCAGTCGAAAAGAAATTAAGGTTTTTGATGAAAACATTCCAGGATTTTTCTCCATATAATGCACTTTACTGGGCACCAAACGGTTCAAGGTCCAAAAGACAGTTTCAGTGCAAACTGCAAACTGTTCAAAGGGCTTTAAACGACACCAGACGATGAATAAGGGTCTTATCAAGCGAAACGATCGCTCATTTAAAAAAAACAAAAAACAAAGTTTAAGTTTTATAAGCTCACATGCTCGCCTTGCTCTGTTCTGTGTAACTCTCCTGTTCGAACTCGTTCATCAAAATGAACAAATCTTTTTCCGAGTCAATTTGTTCATTTCGGTCGTTAAATTTTGATCATTTTGATGAACGAGTTCGAACAGGAGAGTCACACAGAACAGAGCAAGGCGAGCATGTGAGCTTATAAAACTTAAACTTTGTTATTTATTTTTTAAATGAGCGATCGTTTCGCTTGATAAGACCCTTATTCATCGTCTGGAATCGTTTAAAGCCATTTGAACAGTTTGCAGTTTGCACTGAAACTGTCTTTTGGACCTTGGACCGTTTGGTGCCCAGTAAAGTGCATTATATGGAGAAAAATCCTGGAATGTTTTCATCAAAAACATTAATTTCTTTTCGACTGAAGAAAGAAAGACATGGACATCTTGGATGACATGGGGGTGAGTAAATTATCAGCAAAAGTTTTTTTAAAAGTGAACTACTCCTTTAAAGTGCTGCACTCTAAACAGAGGTTTACTGGTAATATTAGACTAGAGGATGGAAAAAAAATATGATATTCCTTAAATGCCGTTTTAATAATTGTAATAACAAAACTTTTTCTTTTGGTTGGTTGTAGTGAAGATCTTTGAGTTTCTGTGTATATGACATGACAATAGTTTTAAATCAAATGAAATTGTGAAATGTTAAAATTGTGTTCCACTCCTGAGCTTTAAGTCTTTGTGTTTGTTCCTCAGGTTTCGGAGGAGATGAAATCAGAGTCCAAACCCATCAAGATAGACCGTCGTCTGACAGGATCCAGTATCATAGATGAGCCACTGCAGCAGGTACTGTCAACGAAACCTAACAGACAGATTGTGTGTTTGAGGAACCTGTGGTGTCTCTACTGATGAGGATTTCTCAGACTGTCGAGTCGCTTGTTTCTGCATGTGACATGAGTAAGACGCTGGGTCAGCTAGTTTGAGGGTTTAGGCTGAACTGGTGTTTTCATACAACTGATGAGCACATGACACTCACTTCAGCTTGTTTTCACTCAGTGCTCTCTCACTGAATCAGGTTTGAGTCTGCTTACAATGCATATATTCTGCAAGTGTCACTTTTTTGATGGAACCATTTTCTACACTTTAGCTTCTTTTTTTTGGTGCTTCCCTAAAGGCCACTTCTATTGTTAGTCGAATAGGTTCCTATTGATGTTGCATGAACATTTTCCACTCTTTCTTTGTCATTTAGAAAACAGGTTGTTTTACTACTCCACCTTAGATTTGTAAATGACGTACCAGTGTCACTTAAACGGTTGTTTAAGTCGCAGAATACTGAAAACATGAGCGGTTGTACGTTAATGGCTCTGTTCCAACACCTAATGCGCTGCCTGCGTAGACCGCTTCCAAGACATCATAACTGTCATGTACCATGATGTAGCAGCAACTCTGTGAGACAAAAATATCACCGAGTATACAAGAGGCTCATTTCTAAATTAATCATTTATTCCAAGAAGCATAAAAATGCACAGTACAATTCAAAGTACACTCAAAATATTGGATAAAATTGTTTATTTTAATTAGATGGAGCTATATTTTTAGTGTTGTATAAACATTTTTATAATACACGTTTCAAAGCAGCTTTACAGAAAAATCGTGATGTTAATGTTTATGATATCTTAATATCTTAAAGCCTAATAGTCAAATAATGTGGCATCTGAGATTTGCTTCACAATACACATATTATGCTTAATATAAGTGTATGTTAGGCATTCGAATAAAGTTGTATGTATATATATATATATAGAGAGAGAATATAGTTTACATTTTGCGACGATATAAGAATCAAGAAGTTTTGATTTGCTATGTCGTACACATCACTTGACATGACTGTGCTGTATGTATCCGGGTGAAGTTTGATATACTAACTAGTTGTATAATTCATTATTATTAATTCATAAATTTCAATAAATTTAACATTAATAATTTGTTAATTTCTAATTAAATCATTGCAGTGCACTTTGGATTAGTCTGCCTGAGAAATGAGCTAAAACAAGGTGCTTTAGTCGAAGGCAACATGATGTTGAACAGCCTCCCTGTGGGCAGTGTGCCGTTTTCATCATATAACCCTGTTAAAACCATAGTATAAGAGCTCTTCATGGCCAAAATCATTATGTAGCTCATTTTAAACTAGTCTGACGTTTTGAGGTAATTGTGTTAAACAGTCATGAGAGTGTGTCAGCAGGTTCGCAAGCTGTTCTGTTTAGTGTGGACCCCTTTGTGGCAGAAGCTATGGGTTATTGTGTCTGTGCCAAGAAGAATTCAGGGCACATGATCAAGAAAAATACATTTCCTTGTGCCTGATGTTTTTCACACACGTATGCACTCACGACATGTACATTAAGAGTTTAACAGAAAATAACGTTCTCATTATGGGGTGATATTTGCCACCTTAATTTGATTTCCAGGGGCATTTTTTACCTTTATAAGGGAATTTTTTTAACCTTATTAGATGTATGTGTCATCTTTTTAAATGAAATACGTTATCTGAACGATGTCTGAAACTTTGTATTGCTAGTACTTCTCATGTTAATTGCTTTTAAAATGAATCGCTTGTTGTATCGCTTTGGATAAAAGAGTCTGCTAAATGAATAAATGCACTTTAAATATGAAACTAAAACCACCAGTAGGTGGCGGCAAGTCACTTGCTGTGTCCGAAATCTCCCACTACTCACTATATAGTGGACTATATAGTGAGCTCGCCATTTTGTAGTGCTGTCCGAATGTATAGTGATGATTATTATACCCTATATAGTCCACTCAATGTATCCCAAAATGCATTTTGAAAAGTAGTGTACAACCGATGGTCACTAACCCAAGCCCTACATACCATCATGCATTGCGCTGATCGTAAAAGACCTATCAGCATCATCTTCATCTTTAACTTACAATTTGACGACGTCTCGCTAGCGTAGCAAGAACAGCACGTCGTTTTCTGTGTCTAGAAATCCTGTTTCTTTTGCTAATCCGCAAAATCTTCTGAATCACGAGAACAAACAAACAAACAAAAAACAAAAATATTGAGTGGCATCTCCACAGAGTCTAAAAGCTGTTTTATTAAGAGTATTATGAGCAAGATATTTGATAACGTAGATCGTTTTTTTTTTCCCCTAATGTCGACAGGCAAGAGAGGCGCGAAAATGAAAATATATGAAATATGTGTATTAATTTTATTTATGTTTATAAGTTATAATCATGTGTGGAGTAATGCATTATAACAGAAACGGACAGAAATGACTTTTAATTTTACAATTTTGGAGAAATAAGCTCAATATAATGTAATGTATTTATAAAAAAAAAAAAATCTATTTAGCCCAGAGCTGGCTCGGCACCAGCTGACAGATGATGGCGCGTTTAATCAACGGCGCCGAGAGACGATCGAGTAGTGTCCGAAAGTGGTGTTTCTATTATGCTGGTGAGCTCACTATATAGTGCTCTACTCCCTACCCCCTACATAGGGGTTAGGGAGTAGTGGTTTGAGTGGAGATTTCGGACACAGCCACTGTCTTAATGAGTGAGTCATTGAATCATTCATTCAACCGATTCGTTCAAATGGCTGATTCATTAACAGTTGTGTTTACAAATAGATTATTGTTTTGTTTGGAACTATTTTCGTTGCCAGAATGAAGCAACAACAGACAATATTGTGTCTAAAATGTTACTCAAGATGTTAACTTTTATTGAATTGTTGTATACAACTAAAAAAAATCACAATTGGGAAAAACAGAACTTTTGCTTGTGTGATATTGTATTATTGTGATATTGAAATTTGTAATATTGAATTTTGGTGTCATTCTAACTGCATTCTAGTAGGTTGTACCACGCAGTGAAAGTGTTCACTCTCTCAAGGCATGTTTTTTGTTTGGCTTTTACAAAGTTAGTGACAGATTTGATAATGTCAGCTTCCACATCAATTACAATATTATCATAGACTATACATCTCGCTCACCCCTAATGTGTATACCCCATTTTCATGATCTCTATGACATTATTTAAGTGAATAGTGTCCTGTTTTGATCCTCTTCTCATGTCATTCATCAGGTCATCCAGTTTGCTTTGAGGGACTATATCCAGTATTGGTACTACACACTGAGTGATGATGAAACGTTCCTCTTGGAGATCCGTCAGACTGTCCAGAACGCCCTCGTCCAGTTCTCCACCAGGTGAGACACCCGTTCACCCTCACACCTGCTTTAAAATCACCGTTGCAGAGGGTTGTGAACGACACTGATGCAACACCTAACCACACACCAAACACTGCATTCAGATGGTCTTACTCATTTTCCTTGGTAAACACGATGTTGAAATGGAGCCTGTAACTCCCATGATTCATTGATTCTCAATCTTTCCGTTCCCCAGGTCTAAAGAGGTGGACTGGCAGCCGTATTTCACCACCAGACTGGTGGATGATTTTGCAACTCATCTGCGTGTTTTCAGGAAAGCTCAAGAGAGGCTGAATGAGAGGGAAGATCCTAAACAACGTAATTATCATTCTTTCCCCTCAATTCACATTGTCTGCAAAACCTAGACAAAACATTTATCAATGGACAGATTAAACCAAGAAAAGCAATAATGGTTACACTTTATAAAAAGGTCCCATTAGTTAATGTTTAAAGATCTCAATATCAGGACTAAAATTGTTGTAGCCTGTAATCAATAGTTGATTTCCTAATGCCTAATATTACAGAGTAAAGGGCTTTAATTGTAACTTGGTTTTAATGACTGAGCATGTGTGCATGATGTTATGTGTGTGTTTGCGCGGCAGGTGACGATCCAGAGGAGCTGCTGGACTCGTTTTTTGAGGCGGAGGTGGAAATGGAGAGGAATATTTGTAGAGATATGGTGTGCATGTCACGCAAGGATGAAGAAGGTAAGACAAACACAGATTTGTGTCTATAGACAGATAAAAGACTCCAGGCCAGTGATTCAAGGCATATTTTATGTCAACAATAGTCATGAATAACTTGTACATGCTTCTCTAGGGCAGATCTCTAGGCCAGACAAGCTGAAAGACTTGATTAGCAAAAAATACAAACACACACCCAGTCATTAATACAGTGAAATGCTTTGAAACCGCTTTAGTGACTGACAGACAATCAAAAACATGAACACTGTTGGTGGTGTCACATGTGATCTCATCTGCAATCCACCTTTATGAGATGAGTTATAACAAATGATTTGCTCACCCTTGTGTCTTCTTTTCAACATCAAATGACTTTCTTTATTCTGTGGAGCACAAAAAAAGTTGTAATGAACGTTTTTTTAAAACACTAAAGGTGATTAGGAACCGCAGCTGTTGAATTTTAAAAATGCACAAAACACCATGAAAGTAGTTTGCACGACTTGTACGGTACATTCAATTCTGCAATCAAGACTTCTTGAAAATCAGTTTGACAGCATTTTAGGTTATAAAATGTTTTAAATCTATTAAGTGGTATAAGAAAACTCTTAATTATCATTTTAAAAGGTCTTAGATTTTGGAAATTTGGATGGAAAAGCAGGAATTGTGATACAGCTTTTGATATGTTATATGATTTATATAAATGTGAGCACTACAAGTTTCAAAGTAAAAACACGGTGCTGTTTTTTGACAGCAAGACACTGTTTACTGTATGGTGTTTATATTGTAATATGTTAAAAATAATTGTAATAGTTTTATCTCCCTCATTTTTTGATTGAGTAGATTGCAGAATTAAATCTTCCGGAGTATTTCAGGCTTGTTTATAATGAAAAGTTCCACATTATGCAAAATAAAAAAAACTATTTTTCTGGTTATTAATCTTATCTGGCATCAAATTCAGTGTAAACTCTTGTATCTTCTCTCTCCGTCACTGGAACGAAAGACTAAGAGCATTATTTAACACATTCAATATAGTTATTACCAGTGTTGGGAAAGTTCACTTTCTACATGAACTAGTTCAAAGTTCAGTTCACAAATTTTAAAATGAACTAGTTCAGTTCATAGTTCATACTTCACAATTTTGAACTAAGTTCACAAGTTCCAAAAATGAACTAGTTCATAGTTATTTTTTTCCATATGTTGCTGTGAGCAATTATTATTGCCACAGCCCATATACAACCACTACAGCAATTATTTTATCGGCGGGCAAAGTTTGCACAGAAATGTAAGATTTTTCCCATCCTCACCGTCCTTGTTATAAAACTCGTTTAAATTATCATACGACGCTGCTTCTTGTCTTGATGACGCATGCGGCGGCCGCGGTGTGACACTGGTGGCTGGTGTTGCCAGATTGGGTGTTTTTTCGCTACATATTAAGGCCTGTTTACGTGTGTTTTCGCCGGGTTTTCGCCTGGAAGGCTCTATAGAAATCTGGCACTATTGAACGAAGTTAAACTGAGAGAGCGTGCGTTCACAGACACCAGAATGAACGAGTTCACAGTAACGTTCATCAGGCAGTAATACAGCACGTTCAGTTCACGTTCGCCCAAAATATGAACGAGTTCATGAACATCGTTCAATGAACGCGTTCAGGCACAACACTGGTTATTACTAGTATCGGCACAGTAATCTGTAATTCATATGTATGGATATGTTGGTACATAAACCTTTTTCAGTACATATTGAATAAAACATGTCTTGGTTGGCTGTTTAATGATTGCTGTCACCCTGTTGTGCTGATAAGCAGTGCTAAGTCCTTGTTGAATGTGTGCGACAGCCTGTTTAATTAAGTAAAAGACTCCGAGATGCATGATTTAATTTGAGATTGTATTGGTTTGTTTTGAATTGACATGCAGTATTTTTTTTTTTTGTGCTAATCTTAAAAAAGCTCTTAAAAGCCTTACATTTGATTTAAAAACCCCTGCAATAGCTTTGGGTGAGGATCAGACTGTTCTGTGTGTTGTGTTTGTGCTGTAGATTTGACTGTAGTGTGTTTGTGGTGCAGGTTACTTACGGGATCTCTGTGAAGTGCTGCTGTACCTGCTACTACCTTCTGGAGATTTCCACAACAAGAATATGAGATACTTCCTCAGGGTGAGACAGAAACACACACATGCTCCCAAATGCATCCAAATTATATTGTATCTTTCAACTAGTCATGGCCGGCTAAAGAAATGAATGGGAGGAATATTGTAAAGCAGTGTTTACATGGGGGAAACCATAAAACATGCATTTTATGCAAGCATTTTCTTATTGTTAAACCCTATAACCTTTTCTGTCTTCCTATTAAAACTATTTAAAATATTATTTCAAACAAAGTACAATATAAATATTAGATAACATCATTTAAAAAAAATTAAGAAATGTTGCCTTGGAAACTAACTGAAATAAATTATATTGAAATACTAAAATTATTTAAACTAAAGCTGAAATAAGAAAATAAAGCTAAATAGAAATATAAAAAATAGGGCTGTCAAATGATTAATCGTGATTAATCCCATCCAAAATAAATTTTTTACATAATATATGTGGGTCCATTGTGTATAATTATTTTATATATATAAATACACACACATGCTTGTATATATTTAAGAAATATTTTCATGTATATACTGTATATAGATTTATATATAATTTATATTATATATAAATATTTTATATATAAATTATATTTTTTTTCTTAAATATACATGCATGTGTGTGTATTTATATATATACAAAATAATTATACACAGTGCACCCACATATATTATGTAAAAAAAAAAAAAATATTTTGGATGTGATTAATCGTGATTAATCATTTGACAGCCCTAATAAAAAAAATGACAAAAGCATATAACAAAATTACTAAAACTTAAACTAACATTTAAATAACTCAAAATGTATTTAATTTTTTTTCATAAATACTATTATAATATATAAAATAACTCATTGTATTTTAATCTGCTGTAAATTTAAATTCCATTAAAATGCAGTTTCAATAATCCGTGATTATTGACAGCGTATCACAGATGCTGTTGATGGAGCTTAAGTAGTATTTAATCCTTTAAGACACCAGATCTGGAATTTACGGAAAGCAGGATTCTGTTTTGAGATCAGGACTTCTAAACTCATGAAGTGGCTGATGTGGTCCTGACAGCTCTTGCTGCTGAGACTACAGCCTTGGTGTTCTGCAACTGGACAAACTTGTTGATGATGATTAACTGATTGATTGTTTGATGTCCTGCAGGAAGTTTTGGCCAGAGGAGTTCTGCTGCCCTTAATTAACCAGCTCAGTGACCCGGATTACATCAATCAGTTCGTCATCTGGATGGTGAGACCTGCTCTGTTCTTACAGTAGAGAAGTGTGTTGTAAATGTACGGAAGCGTCTTGCATTCACTTGAGGGAAAAAAATCTACTCTGTTTTTCTGAATTAACGAGTTAATTATCTCAGAATTATGAGATCATTTTTCATGGAAAAAAAAGTTTTTGCTCTGTTTTTCTGAATTAACGAGTTAATATTTCAGAATTATGAGAATTTTTTCTTGAAAAACATTTTTTCACTCTGTTTTTATGAATTAATGAGTTACTCATAATTGTGAGATAATTAAGTCATTAATTCAGAAAAACAGAGCAAAAACTTTTTTCCATGAAAAAATATCTCGTAATTCTGAGATAATTAACTCGTTAATTCAGAAAAACAGAGCAAAAACTTTTTCCATGAAAAATTATCTCGTATTCTGAGATATTAACTCGTTAATTCAGAAAAACAGAGCAAAAACTTTTTCCATGAAAAATTATCTCGTAATTCTGAGATAATTAACTCGTTAATTCAGAAAAACAGAGCAAAAACTTTTTTTCCATGAAAAATTATCTCGTAATTCTGAGATATTAACTCGTTAATTCAGAAAAACAGAGCAAAAACTTTTTTCCATGAAAAATTATCTCGTAATTCTGAGATATTAACTCGTTAATTCAGAAAAACAGAGCAAAAACTTTTTTCCATTAAAAAATATCTCGTAATTCTGAGATAATTAACTCGTTAATTCAGAAAAAGAGCAAAAACTTTTTTTCCATGAAAAAGTATCTCGTAATTCTGAGATAATTAACTCGTTAATTCAGAAAAACAGAGCAAAAACTTTTTCCATGAAAAATTATCTCGTAATTCTGAGATAATTAACTCGTTAATTCAGAAAAACAGAGCAAAAACTTTTTTTCCATGAAAAATTATCTCGTAATTCTGAGATAATTAACTCGTTAATTCAGAAAAACAGAGCAAAAACTTTTTTTCCATGAAAAATTATCTCGTAATTCTGAGATAATTAACTCGTTAATTCAGAAAAACAGCGCAAAAACTTTTTTCCATGAAAAATTATCTCGTAATTCTGAGATAATTAACTCGTTAATTCAGAAAAACAGAGTAGATTTTTTTTCCTCAAGTGAATGCAATACGCTTCCATATAAATGTTTACGCTTTCCCTTTAAAACATTTGGTGTGTGTTTAGATTCGTGACTCAAGCTGTAACTATGAGGCCTTCATGAACATCTTAAAGCTGACGGACAAACCGCCTGAGCTTGAGGCCGTCAAAGACCGAGTCCTGGAGGAGCTTCAGCATCTCCGATCCCTGGACACGGGCGCAGACGGTAGACACACACTCGACACACACTTATGTTTACACACACACATGCTTTTTCATGTGTTTGGAAAGTAAACAATGAATTCTGGGGGTTATTTTGGAAAATATGAGAGCAAGTTCAGGGCTTCATAATAACAAACATTGTTTACTCTTCATTCTCTCTCTCTCTCTGTACTCGCAGATATCAACATAATAAAGAATCAAATCAATAGTTTGCTTTTTGTGAAGAAAGTCTGTGAAACACGGATACAAAGGCTACAATCAGGAAAGGTAACCAAATCCCCCTGTTTCATTTACACTTCCTGTTTTATAATTCATTAAAATTGTTTAAAAACAATAATATTTGCTAGGAATATTTATCAGATTTCTTTACACATGAAACAATTGCTCCTAATGCATTTTCAGTCTGCACTGTTAATGCATTTATGCTTTGTAGGAGTTTTATATAATTAAGAACATTTATACAAATAATTATACAGACAAATAAAATAATAAATAATTACCGTTATATATGGATGTTACTTTGACTTTTGACATTTTATTATTATTTAAAATTTTACTTTCTATGAACTTTTTAAATCATCTTAATTATTAACAAATTAAATCAGTTGTCTGACATGTAACATTTCACCCTCAGAATGACTAACGTGTTTTGGTTGTTTTTGCCAAACAGGAAGTTGACGCTTTGAAACTCGCAGCTAATTTTGGGAAGTTGTGTGTGATTCCGCTGGAACATATCCTAGTGCACAACATCGCACTGCAGTTCTTCATGGGTGAGTCGAGACGGATGCACACAGTCTGTCCTCTCGTTTGAAATGCATCATCAGCTCGTCCCTTATTGCTTTTTATCTGTCTCTCTGTAGACTACATGCAGCACATGGGTGGTCAGGCAGTTCTGTTCTTCTGGCTGACGGTGGAGGGTTACCGGGTCACGGCACAGCAGCAGTTGGAGGTCCTACAGAGCAGCCAGAGAGATGGAAAGAAGCAGAGCAGCCAGACAACCAAAGGGCTTCTGAGAGCCGCTGCGGTGGGCGTCTACGACCAGTACCTGTCTGAGAAGGTGGGGGGATTTAGATTTATCGGTGCTTAAACTACACAAAAAAACACAACTGAGCTCTGTCGCATATAGGGCCTAGTGGTGTAACCAGGGCTTGACATTAACACCCGCCAAATGAGGGTGTATTTCAGCGTTGGCGTGTAACGCAGTCACTCCTACTTTGGCGGGTTGAATTTTATATAATATACATTTTTCAATTGTAGTCTTTTAAAAAGGCATCTGAAATAATAAACTAAGTGCATTCTAGTGTTGGCAGTAATATAGTTTTTCGATACATATTGATCCTGAAATATCTGAAACTCTTCCGCAGAATAGATACAAAAGATACCAGCGTGTTCTCGCTCTCTAATCTCTCCGACAGCGAGTCGACACACCAACCCTTTACTCACGCGCAGTGTTGTGCTAGTTACTAAGAAATAGTAACTAGTTACAGTTACTAGTTACTTCATTCAAAAAGTAACTCAATTACTTTGTTGATTACTTACACCAAAAAGTAATGCGTTACTGTTAAAAGTAACTTTTTAGTTACTTTTTTAAAGAAAGTTCTTAAATGTTCCCATTAATGCCCTTTTATGCGTTATGGTCTATACAAATACAAAACTGACTTAAACAGAAAGTAATTTTTAAACACTATTTTATTGAAGTCAGACCAGCACAAACTGAATATATCAAGGATTTCTGAAATAAATAACAAAACAAGCATTTTTAAAGCTAGTGACTTGTTTGCTTTCTCAACATTGATATGTTCATGCAGCTGACAGTACATTTTTACCACTGTGGTTTTTACTGCATGAATTAATATTTGAGAAATACAATTGTACCTTGATCATTCTTGTTAGTTCATAGTATAGGCCTACATTAACTAAGGAGATACAAATACATCTAACAATGAATGATACTTCTACAACATTTATTAACCATATTTAATGCTAAAATTGTAATCTTATTGTAAAGTGTTACCATTTATATGATTCAAGCTTAAAGAAGATGGCCATATTTAAATATCTGCAAAGGCCAGAGCATTAAAATTACATAAATGTAGACCTATATTACATGTATAGTCTTTCACTTTATTTGCTTACATTTTAGAACACTTGATTAGACTTGATGTCGGCTGCGTGAACATATCAATGTAAGCAATCAATCACGTCACTAGTTTTAAAAATACAACTTCGCCGGCTAATGAATGCATAAAAGTGACCAGCTGGATATAAACTAATGCAAATAGATGGTAACAATTGCGACATAAAACATGTGGGTCAGGTCTGCGTGTGTTTTTGTCACATTGCTTTAATCGCTTGAGGTAAGTTAGCCGTTACTAGCCTAATGTTATTCCTCTCAGACTCGACGCCAAGCTTCTGTTCTTTCTCTGCTGATGCAGCATCTACTCAAAAAATGTATTACTTTATAATGATATGGCAATGTGTACTTAAGTGTTCTGTATCCATACCGTTTCGCTGTCTGTGTTTTAAATGCGCATCAAGTGCTCAGCGCTCTCCGTGAAGCTTGTAATCTCCGTGCTCGCGCTGCCTCACGTGTACGTAAACAACTCAGCCAGTGAGTTTGTTATGTGTCCTTAGGTGTCCTCTCGCTCTGTATAATGCTAGCAGTCTCTTCAGTGCTCTCGTACTGTGTAATGACAGCGCACACTTCTCAGCCGCTCCAGCAACTAATTCATTTAAAAAAGTAACGGACAACGCGCCATATGGTAACGGTAACGGAGTTAATTTATTTAAAAAGTAATGCGTTACAGTATTAGTTACTGTCAAAAGTAACTGCGTTACAGTAATGCGTTACTAGTAACGCGTTACTGCCCAACACTGCTCACGCGTTTAATTTGCTCCGGATGAATATTGTTGGTGTTACAGGACTTGAATCCTGGCGAGGGATTGTGTGTATTGAGCACAATTTTACTCATTCCCGCAGATTTTGTGCTCACACCCAAAGTGCGTGCACATAAAGTATATTAGCTATATAAAACAGTATAATGGGTCCGTGCGTCAGGTCTTAAAGTGACAGTAGCCTAATATACCGGCTGCCAAATTATGAGATGCTATTAAAAATATCTATATGGTAGTTATTCCCCTATGGTATCGGTGTCCAAATTGTGGCCAGTGAAAATGTGGCTAGTAACTTTGCAAAACAACTAGGCACAGTGGTGTCAAGCCCTGGGGGTAACGATATATTGTTACTAGCGAAGATATAAAGTGCCTATCTTTATAATTACGCTGTATCATTTATGTTGTGGTATGTAAATATATCCATGCAGCACAGTACTAGTACAGTATGAATGAGAAAATACAAAGCGGGATGTGCATGATTTTCAAAAAAGTATGATGTGCAAGTGCAATAAGCCTTGTTGTCGCTCACGCTGAAGCACGCAGAAAGACGTTTTTTTGTTCTTAAATGTTCAAATACACACATTTATGTCAGAATGCCCATCGTGTGAAGTTAGTACTCACCTAAACACACTATTAGATCAGTGCGTCCGGTCTTAAAGTGACAGCAGCCTAATATACCTGCTGTCGTCTGTGTCATTAACGTTAATCAAACAACAAAAGACAAAGCGAAAATCACACTCTTGACTGAATAACGTTTGCAGCTTTAACAAGAATTGATTTATACTTAATTCATACAGTGGTGCTTGACAGTTTCTGTTTGCAATCAGGCCTCTCCTAGGGTGGAGGTGGACGAAGCGTCCGTAAGCAGACTGGCTCAGAAACTCAGCAAAGAGGATCCCACACCTGAGATATTTGATGAGATCCAGAGAAAGGTCAGTTTTCTGTGCATGTGTGATTTGTGTATTCTGACCAGTATAACCAATAAAAAGCCCACTAATTGAGCTCACTGTGTTTTTCAGGTGTATGATATGATGTTGAAGGATGAGCGGTATTACCCGTCTTTTAGGCAGCACCCGCTGTATGTGCGGATGCTGGCCGAGCTGGACATGCTGAAGGAACCCAGCTTCAGGGGGTCTGATGATGGGGACGGAGGTGAGGAACCCACACGGGATCAGATCTGTCATGAATGACAGCAACAATGACGTTTTAACGTTTTAAATCTGCATTTTTGTTTCAAAATGTTTCTGTCCACACTAGCATTTCAAGCGTTTTCCAAAAGTGTGGAGGAAAGGCCAAATATAGAGAAAAAGATGTGTTTTCAAATGTTTCTAGATTTGTGTAAATGTAGCATGAAATTAATTAATATTTTCTCTGTTTCTCCAGAGTCATTCAACGGGTCTCCAACAGGAAGCATTAATTTAGTATGTTAAATAAAACATCTCTCTCTATATATATATATATATATGAAGAGTTTGGTTCCAAAACGCGATACACGCCGTTTAAAAAAAAAAATTAGTTACTGCAAAAATCAGTATTGTATCTGGTTGGTATTGAAAAGTCAATTTTTAATTTGAAGTAAAATGCGATATCCGCCGTGTTATTCTGTCATGTTTTCTCCCTTTCTTTCCAAACCGCGACAAACGCCAGTCTCCCTTCTCTGCAGAATGCGATATATCCGCTCTCAACCAATCACAACGCACCATTCCACTCTCAACCAATCACAACGCACCATTCCACGCAATGTAAACAGTAACGGCAGCGCCTTAAATACACCCAGGTTCCTAGTTTTTCTGATCTATTTTGTACTTTTCGATCAACAAATAAACAAAAAAATGAATAATTTTGACGGCATTGATGAACCTGTGGTTGTTTGCGGTGGGTAAGAAACGTAAGGCATCGAAACCGAATCATTTACGTGAGGAGATTAAGAAGATGAGGCACTCGGGAGGAGGACAAATGTTTTCAATCTTCTTTACAGTTCTTAATAAAAATATTATACTAATAAACTTACGTTGTTGTGTATTTTTAACAGTTTCAATATGAAAAAAAAAACTTTTATATTGATTCAATGGATTAATTGCATTTTGAATTTTTTTTTTTAAATGGATTTATTGCATTTTGGGGGAAAAAATAATCCGTTTTTATAATAAATCTTTGAATATCAAAACCTGGATTTTTTTTATTTTTTTTTTATTATGACCTACAAATGCTATGTGAAAGTTTGAAACAGAAAATACATAGTGGTTTTCATCTTTCCACTTTCTTGGTAAAGAAAACACATTTTTACTCAAATTAATCTAAATGGATTTATTGCGTTTTGGAACCAAACTCTTCATATGTATACATACTTTGTGCTGAATGTGTTCGATTTGTTTCTAATAAATGTCTGTTTTGTAGTCATTAGATGATCTCATCAGCGGGAGCGTGGATGAGTCCGCTCAGCTTCATGCCTTTATCTCTGATACAGGTGAGAGTTTTACCTGGTATTAACCATTTTAAAAGATACATTCTTAAATGTCCTGAAAATAATGTCACAAATATCCTATAACACTCCTAAAATAAGTTTCATCTCCTTTATGCATGATACAATTAGATTTTGGGGTGAAATATGTCCTCTGGCCTATTTTCATCTGCAGATGTTCTGATTTCTATTTAATTCAGTTACATTCTATTAAACGTGTTATTTCAGAGCTGTAATGTAAATAAGTAATTACTTAAAAGGTAAAAGTCTGTGTAATTTAAAGAGATGTTCAGTGTTCCTCTTTTCTCAAGTCATCACTTCTTCTCATTTTCAAGCTTCATTTATTTCAAAGATGCAACACTTTTCCCGCCACTTTGTTTTCATTCTTATTTTGTGTCTATCATTCCATCAACTTTATTTCTTTATTTTCTTACATTCATTTTCTTTCCCTCTGTCCCTCTGTGGCTTTGTCCTCTGTCGTTCTCTCTCTGCTGTATGTCTGTCTTGTCGTTCTTGTTCTCTCGCCCCTGCCGGCTCTCGCACCTTCATTTCCATCGCTCCTGCCTCCCTGTAGTTGATGCTTTTCTAAACCAACTTCCTATGGCAGGCGTTTGTAACGATCATGGGAAGACGTACGCCCTCTACACCGTCACCGTCGTACGCAAGAACTCAGACGGCAGTGAGGACATCTGGAAGACGTATCGCCGCTACAGTGATTTTCACGACTTCCACATGCGCATCACAGAGCAGGTGAGCGAATCTGACCTATGAATGAACATCAGACTTCACGGATCATTTGTTTGTTGTACTGTCTTTAAGTTATGCAGATTTTTTTTTTTTTACTATATAAGCCTAATTTAAATAGACAAAAATAAAAAAAACGAGAATAAATGTACTGATACAGATTTTTATTTAGAAAAAAAAAAGAAAAATCACGAAAGAAACTAACACTTTAAAGTTGAAAAATGAACTATAATACATATATACAAGTTTTTTTTGTGATATTGGGTTGCACAGTTTTCATTTAGGACACTGTTTTCATTCACATACACATACAAATGCATGCATTCATAGGCACGCACACATACACATGCACACACTACATGCTAACATACGTGACAGACTAACGGCCATCCGCCTCCCAAGTTTCATTAAAAATCATCCACTTCTACCACTTCTTTCGCCATGTATTTGTTCGTTTCTTTTAATATTTTATGCAATCCAAAACACTCTAACCTGCCGCGCTTCGTATCTCTCTGTTCAAATCCAATAAAAAATCTGCTGTCATTTGCTGACGAAAAGCTTGAAATTACCGTAATAAGCCGTAAATTGCAAAAAAAGCGCATGGTATCTACTAGGGGTGAAACGGTACACAGAAGTCACGGTTCGGTTCATACCTCGGTTCAGACATCACGGTTCGGTACGATTTCGGTACAATGGAGGGAAAAGCAAAACAAAAATGCAGAAGGCATTGTATTTTTTAAATAAGTTTTATTAATAAAGGCATAGAACCAGTTTATTTGTAGTGCACTGACAATAGTTTTATATATTAGTTTATTAATTAAATTAATAAAAAGACAAAAAGACCTTGCGAATTTGCGATATGTTTGGTAATTGTACCTGAATTAATTTAAAATTATTTTGCTATATTTCAGATCAATATATTTGTCTTCCTTAATTTTATTTAACAATGTAACATTATTCTCATCTGAATTATAAAGGACCGATATATCCGAGGACAAGAAATGACAACCAATGCAATATGATGAATGTCCAAAAGATGGGACCCACAGACTGTTTTGAAATGGAGTTGGATAAATAGGCTATGTTTTGCTTTTAAAACAGTGTGTGTGTGTGTGAGATTTTGGTTGGGTGACAGTTGTAGGTTACAGTTTGACAAGAGTTTACAGTGTGACAAAAGCACAATGTTGTGTTTTATTGCGAGTGTACACAAATATAAGTAAACACTTTGCAGGTTTAATGATCTGTATGAACAAAATGACGGAGTATGTTTTTTATGTTTCCACTGTTCGATCGCGCCCGCGCCTCTCTCTCTCTCTAGCGCACACACACACACACACACACTCCTGCATTGCAATCTTGACATCGCAGCCTGTTCATTATGCGGTCACACCAAACGCGAATAGAGCGTCAAATTCGCGTCTAGTTCGACGCTAGTCCAAAGCGAATAGGACGCGCGTATAAAGCCAACGTTTGAAGTGAACGCGCGTTCAGAGCTAAGCCGATGGTACAGATTATGTGTCCCTAAAGAACCCGCGAATCTAACAGTAGCTCCGCATTACATTAATTAATTTGCACGCGAGTTTTATTTATTTTTATACCGTGTATTCTCCGTGTAAATTCGTGCACCGAACCGTGACGCCCGTACCGTTTCGGTTCAATACGAATACATGTACCGTTCCACCCCTAGTATCTACTGTCAGGGGCAATTTGAATGGTTTCGATAGTGCAAACGGTTGAAGAGTTACGGTAAAATTAATACAGCTTGCTGGTATGTGTCGGTGACACAGCCGGTTCTAAAGGGTTAACTATATGTGATTATTTTTGTTATGTATTTTTTACATTTTACATAACCTTTTTTTTAAACTATATAATAATAGTCAACTAAAAAATTTAATCTGTATAACTCGAAAGGCAGTGCAACAAATCAACCTGATGTATAAATTATTAAAAATTGTAATAAATGTTTGTCTTTGCCATTAATAAGATTTTGGAGGAAATGAGCTTGAGTCACAAATGATGAATAATGTCATTTCACCCATAACCACTCTTGAATTTAATTATATCTTAAAATAAATATGGATGCAGCTTGTATTGGCTTCGTAAATATCTGATTTTAATCTACATTTTTCTACATTTTCTGTGCCGATTGTGGGTGAATCTGCAAAATTCTGCCTAATAATATGTCAAACAGCGATGTGGAGCTATTTGAATAATAATTAACTAGCCAAAATATTTACTAATCTAACATTCAAGGGACAAAGGAAGTGTAGAAAAACCAGTTCTAATTCTGAAACACAGATTCCATGTTAGTCTGGATAAGCTTAAAAATGTGGTTAAACAGTCATTTTCTGTCCTAAATGGCTTTTGTGGAGTTTGCTGAGATCTGTTTCCTATCTTTAGTTTGAGAGCCTTGGTCCGATTCTCAAGCTTCCTGGCAAAAAGACCTTTAACAACATGGACAGGGAGTTTTTGGAGAAAAGGAAGAAGGACCTGAACTCATATTTACAGGTGGGTCAGATGAGGACGTGTGTTTATTTGGGATTCTGCTAGCTCGGCTGTTTTGATCCAGGTGTGCTGAGAGCTGAGTTTGTCCCACAGCTGCTGTTGAATCCTGAGATGGTGAAGGCCTGTCCCATGCTGATACCCTACGTCTATGACTTCCTGGAAAACAAAGCCTACAGCAAAGGCAAAGGGGATTTTGCACGCAAGGTGAGAAACGCCACACACATACCTATTGCAGAAAACATGCTCTGAATAATCAGTGAACGTGTATATATCCAGATATAGCCAGAAATCTCTTGATATAAAACAATCTAGGCATGTTTTTTTTTACCACATAATCACATTTAGAATCATATTTATCCATTTTTATTTCAATGCATCAATTGAAAGAAGTCTCGTCTGCTCACCAAGGATGCATTTATTTGATCAAAAGTACAGTAAAAAGAGTAAAATTGTTAAAATACAGTTAACAATAGAGTAAAATAGATGATTTCTATGTGAATATATTGTAAAATGTCATTTATTCCTGTGATCAAAGCTGAATTTTCAGCATCATTACTCCAGTCTTCAGTGTCACATGATCATTCTACCGTAATATGATTTTGCTGCTCAAATTTACCAATCAATTTAATGCATCCTTGCTGAAAAAAAAAAAAATCTTTCTGACCTCCAATTTTTTTTTTTTAATGGAGGTGTATATTTTTGCAAACTACACTGCAGCAGAAATCATTAATACACTTCAAATGAAAAACCCATAGACTAAAACACAAACTGTGCCGGACTTGATATTCTTGTCACACTTTTGATGGACCGATAGATGGATGGAGAGGTTGACAGACTAAAGGTGCGTTCACACAAACAGCATTTTGGAGTTGCCAAAAGTCATTCAATTCAATGAGAGTTGGCGATTCTGGACAACGAGGAAAAGCAAGCACTGGTGGAGCGGGAAAGCCGAGCAGTGGCAAAGACAATTAAGCTCCCATGATCCACGTCTTGATACAGTTGGATACTAACATAGCGACTAACAGTGATTAAATTGAACGCAACCCGATGTATTCATCCAGAGGGGAGCGGCATAGTTGTTGTCTGATGGGATTCGCAGTTTTTGTAAATTTGTCCTGTTCTCTGGACTCGGACAGATGGACACGTTTGTGAATCCTCTCCGGAGCTCCATGCGGAACGTGTCCAATGCCGTGAAGTCACTGCCGGACAGCCTGGCTGAGGGAGTGTCCAAAGTCTCGGCGGACATGGGCCAGGATTTTAAGAAAATTGGCCAGGATATTAAACAATCCATATTTAAGGTAGAGCACGTCTAGAGAATCACAGAACACAGCGAGAAATGCGAAAGACCTCAAAAACTGGACGCTTCACATACATTTTTGTTTAGCCTGTTTTTGTGTAACTGGGAAACTTTGTCTCTTGCATTTAGTCAGTAATTTCACATGCATAGCTTTAGCTGAGCAGGTGCACAATACATGTAGGCAAAGTATTTGCGCTCGACTGGCGTTATTTGAATATATGAATTTTTATCAGTGAATGCATGTCATGAACTCCAGATGTTTCTGCTCCACAGGTTCCTCCTTTAATCCAGAAGTCTGACATCGATCCCGAACACTGCCGCGTCTCGGCACAGCTGGACGACAACGTAAGTCAACATCACAAACACGTGTTTTATATAATATGTTTTAAGGCACTGACATTTATTTGAATAATTTAAATAAACAATTCTAGTAGAAGGTTTATAGTTTAATGAATAAAAGTAAAGAAAATATGATGTTTGTATTAACATTAGTGAATTTTTCTTATTACAGTACACTACAGTAGTATTATTACCACAGTAATATATTTCTTTTTTGATTTTTTTACTTTTTATAATTTAATAAAAATATTATTATCATTTTACAGTACAATCTTATTATAAACATAGAAATGTATATCTTAAATGATTTTTAAAATATTATTATAATTATTAAATACTTTAATTTGTAGAATTTATATAAAATGATATGTTTTTAAGGATTTACAGTACAATACTATAAGCATAGTAATTTATTTATTGATTTTCACTTTTATAATTTAACAAATATAGTCATTTTGAATGGGTCCCACAATAGCAGCGGTATCAATGCAAAATCCACATTTTAATATGATATTGATATTATGATGTGATATTAAAAGAATAAAGTCTCCCTGGACCTCAGACCCTTCTATGAGGGTCACCGTTTTCACCCCGATTAGTTTGCATCGCTGTTTATTGGTAGTTCAGTGATTTTGCATGTGGTCTCTCTAATCATATTTTCGAGTTGGATCTGTGAGTTTCATAAATGTTGTTTTGTTGTACAGGTGGATGATAATATTCCTCTGAGGGTGATGTTGCTGTTGATGGACGAAGTGTTTGACCTGAAGGAGAGAAATCAGTGGCTGCGGAGAAACATCAAAAACCTCCTACAGCAGCTCATCAAGGCCACGTATGGAGACACCATTAACAGGTGCGATGGACACGTGTACTCGCGCGCACCATGACTGCTATTCTCCTCTCTGTTCAACGGCAAACATGTGTTTTTGCTTCACTGCAGGAAAATCGTGGATCATGTCGAGTACATGACCTCGCCTGAGCAAGTGTCTGATTATGTGAAGAGATTCAGGTGATGATTGCATGCGTACGGTCTATTCTGAAATATATATATGGTTCTGGTTCTTCTTCTGACTGGGTGTTTGACTCCTCAGAGACTCTTATTGGCCGAACGGGATTCTCGCCGAGACGCCACCGCGCAGAGACAAAAGCCTCCGTATGAGGACGCGGGTCGCCGCCAAAACCACACTCCTGGGCATCATGCCGGGTACTTACAATGAGTATTGTGGAAAGTGCTATAGTAGAGCTGCATGATAAATTAAGAATATTACGATTCTGAACAAACTAAACAAAATAACTTAATTTATTAGAGGTTCTAATAAAATGTTCATTGCTCCAGTCTATTTAAAATGTTTCATTAATCTGAATTATAAAAAAAAAAAGAACGTTTGAGTGAATGATTCAATGACTCACTCAAATACTTGTTTCATTATTGGATGAATCAGAATTGAACAAATCTCTTGAATATTCGATTCAAAGACTAATTTTTTTCAATACATTTTTAAACACCTAGTGGAATTAAAATGTTATTGATACAATCATTATTTGAAGCATCAATTAACATAATTTACTAGAGGTTCTAACAAAATGTTCATTGCTGCAGTCTATTTAAAATGTTTCATTAATCTGAATTATATTTTTTTTAAAAGAACGTTTGAGTGAATGATTCAATGACTCAATCAAATACTTCACTTGTTTCATTACTGGATGAATCAGCGTTTTTAAACGAATCTTTTGAATGAATGATTCAAAGACAAATACATTTTTGAACAGTCACTTTCGCTCATTGCTGCAGTCTATTTAAAATGTTTCATTAATATAAATTATTTAATGATTCAATGACTCACTCAAATACTTGTTTCATTATTGGATGAATCAGAATTGAACAAATCTCTTGAATGAATGATTCAAAGACTAATTTTTACAATACATTTTTTAAACACCTAGTGGCATTAAAATGTTATTGATACAATCATTATTTGAAGCATCAATTCACTTTCAAAAGTTGATGTACTCTATTTCGATTGCTTCCGTACACATCAGTGTTTATACCCAAACAAACTTTTATTCCAGTACTTTTGTGACCATTTGAAAGTTTTTAACACAGAAATAACAATACTGTGTGGTTGAAATGAAGTGGTTGTTTGTGAAGCTGTTTCATACGGAAGCGTATTGCATTCACTTGAGGAAAAAAAATCTACTCTGTTTTTCTGAATTAACGAGTTAATTATCTCAGAATTACGAGATAATTTGTCATGGAAAAAAAGTGTTTGCTCTGTTTTTCTGAATTAACGAGTTAATATCTCAGAAATACGACATAATTTTTCATGGAAAAAAAGTGTTTGCTCTGTTTTTCTGAATTAACGAGTTAATATCTCAGAAATACGACATAATTTTTCATGGAAAAAAGTTTTTGCTCTGTTTTTCTCAATTAATGACTTCATTATCTCAAAATTATGAGTAACTCATTAATTCATAAAAACAGAGTGAAAAAAAAAATGTTTTTCAAGAAAAATGTATCTCATAATTCTGAGATAATTAACTCATTAATTCAGAAAAACAGCAAAAACTTTTTTTCATGAAAAAATATCTCGTAATTCTGAGATAATTAACTCGTTAATTCAGAAAAACAGAGCAAAAACTATTTTCCCATGAAAAAATATCTCGTAATTCTGAGATAATTAACTCGTTAATTCAGAAAAACAGCAAAAACTTTTTTTCCATGAAAAAATATCTCGTAATTCTGAGATAATTAAATTGTTAATTCAGAAAAACAGAGCAAAAACTTTTTTTCCCATGAAAAATTATGTCGTATTTCTGAGATATTAACTCGTTAATTCAGAAAAACAGCAAAAACTTTTTTTTCATGAAAAAATATCTCGTAATTCTGAGATAATTAACTCATTAATTCAGAAAAACAGAGTCGATTTTTTTTCCTCAAGTGAATGCAATACGCTTCCGTAGTTTCATACATGACGACTGCTTTTTATAGGTTGTATAGACAGGAGAATCATTGTCATCTAGGACTGAGATCGCGTGGGTGTTTGAATGGAGATTGTGATCTTTTAGCGATTAATCTCTGCTATACCAATGACTCTTTTCTCCTGCCGTCAGATGAGTTGAAGCACATCATCGGGGCGGACACCACGCGCAAGGGCATCCTGCGTGTCTTCGACATGTTCCAGCACCAGTCTCTGAACCGGCGGCTGGTCTACGTCTTTCTAGAGGGCTTCCTGGAGACCTTGTTTCCTCAGTACAAGTTCTCCGATCTGTTCGTGAAGCTCCACTCGCGCTCGCCGCGTGTACTGAAATACTCACTCAAATCGCGCAGCTTGCACAAGAGGTGACAGACGGACGATTCTCCCGCCGCCGACGCAGAAGAGGAGGAGTCCGCGCGTGTGTTTCTCCGCACCGGATGTGGAACACACACACACACCTCCCTCTTAGTGCCTCCCGGCTGTTCTCGTTTAAAGCACTGCATTGACACGGCCGTAGCGTAGAGGATTCATTTTACCATCATGAAGCGCACTTCGGTCACCACTAAAGACTGAACACTGAGCGATCCTTCTCTCCGTTTGGATGACACTGTGTAGATACATACGTTTTTTGTTTTTTTTGGGGGTTTGTTTTGTATTCGGCAGTGGTCGAACTCAAGTATGGTGAACGAAATCTGACCGAACCAACCTATGCACCTTAACACTCATTACAAGCAGAACCGTATGATGAGGGTCAGCAGCAATGTATCATGATCTTCACTTACAAACATTATGTGGCACTGACACTGAAATGAGCGTAATGCCAACCAATCGGTTGCGTAGAGTGGGTGGGGTTTAAAACAGGCCACGCCCCCCTCAGCCTTCCACTCACGTGGAACATAAAAATCAAACACGCCCGATCAAATGCGGACGGAGATGGTGGTATAGTGTTTGCATGGGCGGCTACGTGGAGTTCAGCGCATACGGAGATATGCTTTAAACGAATGTCTAGTGAGCCTGTGTGTGTGTGTGTGTGTGTCCTGTTTTTATAACTCAATCAAAGGCTCGTGTACATGTGTTTGTTTTTTAAAACGACTTTATTTTAGAATAGCAAGTGTAGCACTAAACTGCAACTGTCCGATGCCGAAGACTGTTTGCGTGTGAGATGTAGAGCCTTAAACCCAAGACCAAGAGACGTGTGCTGTAGACGTAGCTTCCCCTCAGACACACACATCAAGGACATCTCGACTGGCCTAAGCAGAGAATATGTTATTCTTTGTTGTGCAATACGTTTCTTTAATGCATGTTCTAGTATAATCGTGGATGGGATAGTTTTCAAGTATATTCGAAATCCGAAACCACACGAATCTCTTCAAAAACCATTCCGTTGTTGTAAATGGCTTGTTTTAAAGGACTTGTTTTATAAGTCTGGCTTTTATGTTTGTGTTGGGGGCGCTTTTTTTTTTTTTAGTGTTTCCTCACTCCTGCCGTTTTCTGGACGATGGATTTTGGCGTGATCTGCTTTTAGGGACGAGTGAACGGAGGCTGGAAAGAGGTCAGAGGTCGTCTGGCGTCAGAGCACACAGGTTAAACACTCACACTTATGATATATCTACACTTTTGCAAAAACATGCACGGGTCATATTTCACCCTTCTGTAAAAGTACATAACTTATATTTTGCATAAAGACAATTATGCCTTTTTTTTGTTGCTTTGTAACATTATTTTCATGACGATTAAGCACATTTCCTTAATTCTCATTACTGTTATGTGAAAATAAATACATATTACAATTAAAATAATAATAATATATATAATTATTATTATGTAAACTATTAAACAAATAAGTTATTTAACATGTTATGTAATAATTCGATATTTCTTTCAATTTAAGTAATGAGAATTAGATCGGAAATCATGGAAATTATGTCATGTGGGGGAAAAAGAATGCAAATATATAATTTATTTTGTTTTTGGGGTGAACGTGACCTGTCTCGGGTTTCATGAGCTTCATCCTTGAGACCTGGTTCAGATCTGCAGATCCTGATGCCAATTGTCAGTAACCAATTGTGTGATTTTAAAAATAAAAATAGCACTTAAACTGTTAATTGAACATTGTTTATGTTGCTCTTGTTTGTGTCTGTTTGCTGTGGCCAGCGTCAGGCAGGTTTACTCTTTCTCTACTGTGATTGGCTGGCACTGAGAAGCTCAAATCTGCTGTGATTGGCCACACGGGAGCACACTTCCCCTTTAACTGAATCCCTGTCTGTATGAATCTATGAAAATGAACTGCGTATTGGTGTATAGTATGTGTCAGCGGTGTGCCTAAATGTACTGTCAATTATATTTTCTTATTTTTCTTTAACGAAGTGAGTCGATTTGAATGTCATGGTCGTTTTAATAGACTGAAAAGGACTCTAAAAGGAGTAGAGTGTCTGCATTATGCTTCTAAAACATTCATTTTGAGCAGCTTAACTCAGTATAACACTAATAAAATTAACTCCAACTCACTGCCCTGATAAGACTGCTGTCTTTTACTGTACGTGTATGAATGACGTCTGACTGAGACTGAAATAAAGAGTCTGGATTAAGAATTAAGTGTGTGTGTGTGGGCAACAAGTCTGTTTTAAACCATTTTAAGTTGATTTCATTGATTCTTGCATTGATTTAAGATCTTTTAACCTGAATAAATCTCAGAAACTGCTTTTGTGAGGGATTAAATGATGGATTTAATGTTGATATTATATTTTTTTGGGTTATGGAAGATACAAATCTACACCATTTAGTCTTTCAAAACTGTCAAATCTTTCAGAGAAAGCATTTTCATGATATAATTAGATATATCAGGCATCAAACAACTGAAAATACGATCAGCTGTTTAGTACATTTGAGAACTCAAACAGTAAAATGTGATTTTAATTTTTAAAAATACAATTATTAAATAACTATACCAATAAGCCCTGATATGATCTGCTTATATAATATATACTTATATATGTGATAGAAGCATTGCTTATGTATGCGTGTGTAATCCATCATCAAACATATAAATCAAAACTGCCAAACGTTACCAAATGAAATGTTGATGAGGTTTAGGACAGTGTAAGAAATTTTGCTTTTTTTATTTATTAAACTTTACCCACATTTAAGTGTTAAAAATGAATGCATGGAGCTAGAATAAAAAGAGTGCTGTTGTTGAAAAGCAGCGGCCCTGTTCTTTCTTTAGATATATTATATGTTATACAATAAAATATTGCGGGGGGCATGAAAAAAGTTTTATGAAAAATATCAAAAATGCTGGCGGGAAAGGGTTAAAATGCCAACCAATATTTAAAAGGTGGAAACAAAAATGCCCCATTTTGAATTCCTTTTGTTTTTCACTGATATTTAATATACCAAGAATAATTAGTATTTCTGAATGCAAAGAAAATTCTCCTAACAACAACCTCAATTAAAGAAATTAGCTACATGAAAATGTATTTATTAACAATTTGTGTAGTGTTTATTCGTATGTATTACTTTCAGCTTTTGTTTTGTTGAATTGATTTTAAGTTCCAGCCATAATTATTCCATGTATTGCAATAAATTGAATTAATTCAATAATTGAATGCGTGTTTTCCAATATCAGCCGTGTTTCTCAGACAGCAATGGATGTGTTCTTCTCATTGCGTGGCGTTATTGTTGGTGACATCAAGGTGGCGCTAAAGCACACAGTTATGACCGTGACTATTTCTAGATGCAACTGTGGTTATTATGGGAAGGAGCTTTTTAGACAAATGTCAGGATGTGTGAATGAATGGCCTCAGGCTCTTCCTTGCATCTAAAGGCCAGAGAGGTTTAGTGACACTTCTGCTATTTTTACACACAGAGCTGTTAGTATTTTGATCTGCTCAAGAGGCCTTTTCTTATGTGACCATCTGTCCAACATGACATCATGACTTTGCGTAAACATACACGCCACTTTCAATTCAAGTGGCGTGTTATCTATACGCATTTTGAACTATCCGCGTGTATGTCCACGCCGAAATCTTTTGCGTGTGTGTGTACGCCGTTAAATGTCCGAGTGATTCCGCGTGTATGTGTACGCCGTTAAATGTCCGAGCGAAACGAAGCAAAATCTATATCTACATCTGTGGAGCGATATTTCTTTTCCTAGGATGGTAGGAGAAAACTCATAAATGGTATTAACCCCAGTGACGGGTAGGTTTAGGGACGGGGTTGGGGTAGGTCATATATTTATACATAATACAGTAATATAACGTTAAGTCAAAGGCGTTGATAAACACGCTGAAAAGCGATTATGCGTGTTGATAGCACGCCAAAAATGGAAATACGAATTGGCGTGTCATACATACGCCATTTCATGAGATCAGTCTGATCTGTCTCATTACTGCACCCTAAAGCACTGACTTCCTAATTACTCGCATGCCAACGCAGTCTATTCGAGTATATGTGTATTTTCAAGAGACATTATCACCACTGTATTGAGCTGGGAAATATACGTTTATTTATTTATTTACTTTTTAATTTATTTTTTACAACATTTTAGTATTTTAAATTATTCGCTTACAATCAAATTATTTTATTTAGATTATTTTACTATTAAATATATGTATTAAATGTATATTGTTAAAATAAATAACTCCTTTTTAGAATTTATTATAGACCTTTTTTTTTTTTTTTTTAGAGTGAACGGACTCTAAGACGAGGTAAATGAACACAACATTCAGCTTTTATGAATATATTTGAACAGATTGTGGACAGTTTGGTTAGAAAAACAACCAACAACATCGTAGAAAAGGAAATATCGATGACCTCACTTTGCATCGCACTCGGTTTCAGCCAATCAGGAGCGTCCTCGATTAGGCTTTGTTGTGGAATGTCGGGGATAGATATTTTCAGACGACAACAGAACTTCCACTCTGGGTTTACTTCCGGATTGAGTCAAATTAAGTCAAATGATTCGACTTGCTCGATAATAAGCGATAGCGCTAGTCTCTCTGATAAGCTGTCAAACATTATATAGGCCTATTCAGATCAACGTCCCGTTTGAATTTAACATGAATTCTTAAGTAGCCTAGTGTATTACCACAACGTTGTACTTTGAATATCTATATAATTTAGCAACCCACTTGTTTGTTCTTGTTTAAAAATTTAATATTATAAATAAAGATGAATATTTTCTCTTTTTTTTTGCGTCATGATAAGAACATCACACCTCACTAATAATATCAATGAAATGATAAATAGTCTAATGGTAAATAAAAAATAAAGTCCTTCTAATATTTTTTTCGTGCTTTTTTTGCATTTTGTGGATGTAATGTAATTAACTTTTTGTGGATGTAATTAACTACATAATTAATAGATTGAGATAAATTGACTTTTATATTTAACCCCTTAACTGTCACCATCCC